TCTTTTCACGGATCCTAGATTTTACTATCCTTATCCGGATCCGGGCTCCCCGGATATCATAATATTCGGAGTTCCGAACGGATAACGGATCGATTCTCGGATCCCGGATAATAATTCCACCCCTAGCCTAAACTAAGCTAAACGTAAGTGCCAGTTTTAGCCCAAACAAACATCACTTTTTAATTGTAAAAGTTAATGGTACACTACAAACGTAAGTATATGGTGAATGGTACAATTTTGGGCAAAAAGTGACCACAGCTAAAAATATGACTGTTCAAAATCAACATCTTCGACATAGAGAGATTCTCATGGTACAACGTAGGATATGAAAATAATCGAGTTGTTTTGTTTTTGTCCCATATTTCTAAAATAATCGAGTTGTTTTGTTTTTGTCCCATAGTTCTATTGTCGTTATTTTTGGAGTGAGGCCCCATTGTAATTGGTATATTATTTTGATATTCCTATGGCAAATTGAGTAACTACAACAAAAAATTAATTTAACTGATGATGGTGATTCGGATGATTAGATATCATGATAATATTATTGTATTAGGACATCATGCTATTATCATGAATCGAACAACATGAAATCTTGACAAGTTAATTTTTTTCGGTGAATTAGGTAGAAACGTTAAATAACACACTCTCTTTACATGATCGGAGTATTCATTTGTTTAAGAAGAATTGGTTTTGAAGTTAGATATGTAAAAAACCGATACAATCTTTACCAATGGGTGCATATCATACGCTCTTCAATAGTAATGCTATAGTACCGAGATTGTAAAAAGTTTATCAACAACAATCAATCATGATGCTAACAAAAAAATTCAGTAATCATAAAGACAGAATGAAACTTCTTTTTCGACATTCTAGCTTTACCTTTGGCTCACCTTCATATACAATCCCTGCAATAAGAAAATCAGCATCAGAAAAAAAAACTGAAATCATTCTAAAACAAAACATACACTCTAATTAATCTCGAGTTTGAGAACATTTTCGTACATTGGTGGTGTGTATGGTTGCTCCGGTGGTCATGCTAATGGTCTGATCAGGGACCAGCTCGACGTTTAGGCGCTGGAGAAAGACCGCGAGCGCCACAATTGCCTCCATCAATGCAAACTGATCGCCTACGCATTTTCTAGGCCCTCCACTAAACGGTATGAATCTGGTGAAAAACAAATCAACAGCCATCTTTAACCTATCTAATCAAATATTAATCTTGACTTTATAGTTTGCATCAAAACATGTGTACTATTGAGTTTACTTGAAATCGGTGTTTGTTTCGTTTGGGATTGCGCCTTCTAGCTCGAATCGTTCAGGAATAAATTCTTCAGCTTTTTCCCATACCTTTGGAACAACAAATATATTAGAAAAATGTGGGCATGAATGCAATACCAAAGGGCCCAATCCCGTTTAAGTGATCTGAACGAAACTCGAAAGCATACTGAAAATCAGAACAGAGATCAAACCGGAGGCCGGACTGGGTTCCCCTAAATGTTACTATGGGAGAAGGAAGGAAGAGAACTGTACCACGGATGAACGATGGATGTTATAGACCGAAATCATAATGTCTTGCCCGGGATTAACCTTGTAGTCCCCGGGAAGAATGTCGGGAACTTGAGCTCTTCTTATCAAGACCTACCAGGAAACAAAATAATCAGGACATTTAGTTCACGAAAATTAGAGAAATGAGCTTGATTGCTTACAGGAGGATGTGGGTAGAGACGCATTGACTCGTTTATACAACGAGTGATGTACTTCAACTCCTTTATATCCTCATAAGCCGGGTTTCTTCCCGCTAAAACTCTATCTACTTCTTCTTGTGCTTTCTCCAATGCGGATGAGTTCTATGTACATGGAGTTTAAAGAGGCAAAAAATTACTCATCAATAAGAACAGAGAGCTTCTAATCCAAGCAGCATAGGAAAGTATAAGATACCACCAAAAGATACCTTACTTAGGAGATAAATTGTCCAAGTGAGGACAGATCCAGTGGTTTCATGACCTGCAACAAGCATTGAGAGAAGATCATCTCGTAACTGTACACTTGACACCTGAAAATGGGCACAATCCAACATCAGCTTCAATTTGCGATACGAAAGGCCAAGTTTAGTTATAAGCCAAGGGAAAGAAAGTAAAACCTCTTCTCTGCTTGCGAGCAAGAAACGGAGGATACTTGGATCAGCATCATTTACATACTCTTCGTCATTGATTCTTTCGCCTTCTCTTTCAACAATTTCTTTGCATTTTGCAATGAGGTCTTCAACGGTTTTCCTTATCAAAGTTACAGCCTTTTCAGCTTTCACCTGTCTCGGAATTATCTTACACAATGCATCAATCTAAGAAAAGACCAACCAAAGCCTCTGAATTAGCAAAGAATCCAAGAGTGACGCTATTAACAAACCAGGAAACATACACAAAACTTGCCTTCCAATATGGTAAAAGATCAGTAGAACGAAGCTCGGCTTCTTTAAGAGCAGTGTACACAGCTTCAATTACAGGACTATCGGTAGTCAGAGAATCAAAATTGTAGTTAAAAAGCGATAAGCCAATGACATCAAGAGTCAACTGAGAGAACTTCTCTTCCATGTTCACAGCTCTCCCATCCTGTGCATAAGGCTGCAGCTTCTCAACAAGCCTCTCTGCACATTTGCAGAATACTCTCTCTACAATCACAGACAAATACCTCTTGTGAAGAGACGGGACCACCGCTCTTCGCCTCGCCTAATACCAAAAATCAAGGTTCAAACTAAGCCCAATAGAGAAGATTCTGCAGAGAACTATCAACCGAATTTGCTATAAAACTGGAATCTAAGCCCTGACATTGTTCTATGAGGAGAAGAAGGTGAAGTTACCGTCCAAAGAGGTCCTTCAGCGATTGCAAAACCCGAACCGAAAAGGAACTCAGAGACTTCAGCGACTAAACCTTTAGCATACTTTGGATAGTTTCTCAAAACGTGTTTCGCAATCGCTGGATCGCTGACGACGACGAAATTCCGAGGACCAGCAGCGAGACGGTAAATGGGTCCGTACTCGTTCATCCATTTGTAGAGTGGTAAGAAGAGAGCTCCTCCGAGAAGATCAGAGACGTCGTCGAGCTTCGCGCTCGCGATGGGTATGCCCGAATCGTCGTTTTGACCTGAGGAAATGGTACGAGTAAGTGATGTGAGCCAATCGGGACTGACCCATGACTGGGATTTTGA